AATTCAATGTGAGTGAATATTCTAGAGTTATGGGTTAGCTAACAATCCCGTTGAGTTTTTCACTTAAATTATCTAATTAATTTATCTAGTTTATTGATTGACGGGGTTAATATTGCCCGTAGCCTTCTCCCGAAGCACGACTCGCCTACTCAGGCTAACCTAACGCCTATATTCCTATGGAATTAGGATTAACAAGAACGCATTTATAATTCCTGTATAATATCCAAGCAAGGCGATTAGGTATATTCCTATCCTAATCGCAAATCCGCTCCCCCTAAGAGTTAAGATCTTGCTCTACTCAATCTTATATGCAATCTAGAATTCCCTCTCCCGAGTTCAATTCTAGATTCGTAGATAGTATTCAATTGGTGATCAAGAAATCAAATAATTAAGCGCAAGATTGAATAAATAAACCAATATGATAAAATAATAAGAACAATTTAAGCTTCAAACTACAACGTTCATGTAGCACCCAAAACTCTAGAACAAAGAAACTATGAAATTAAAGGAAGAGAAGAGAAGAAAAACTAGTTGGAAGCCTCCTCCAAGCGTGGTGTGTGTTCCGCCACGTGAATTCTCCTTCAAAGTATGTTCGATCTGCTCCAAATTAGGTTTAGGACCCTTTTTATACGAGTTGGAACCATGTAGGGCCGAAATAACATTGTCCCAGACGAAATAGAAAAACTCACGTCACACAGCGTCCAGGATAGCGCCTAGCGCTAGCCCTGGCGCTGAAACCAGTAAGTTTGCACGTTCTTGCTTTGCTGCGTCACTTTCATCCATATATTGCATTCTAAATGGAATTCAATTATATATCCCTTTTTCTTGTCTTCAAATTGGGGGGACAAAAACCAAAGGGTGTCCCCCCTTTTTTTATTCATTTAATTTTCTTTCTTTTTCTTCCGCGTTTTATTTAATTTTGCTCCAAATCTCTTCATCTACACACCGCTTTATTCCTACACAATTAAAATATAATCTCAAGCACAAAGTACTATAATTAACACTCAAAAGACGATTAAAAGTACTAGAATATGATATAACAATTGGTAAATATATGCATTTTTGGCCGAACATCAAACTACATGTTCAAAACTACATGTCTTTCATATGAAACCAATTCTATTCGAAATTGTTTCTCCACACTTAAGATCCTCATATATATTTAGCGATATCATAGATGTCGTCGACGAATATTTTATATCGATTCCAGCTTTATTTTCATAAAGATATGACATAGAGATCTCTTCATTCATATTTTCAGGTACTTGAATCTCTCATGAGACTTTATAAAGTGTTATGTCATGTGATCTCCTAGATTACTTGCCTCCTTATTATGATCATTTTGATCATTTGCTCATCTTCTTTATCAAGAAGTTTATTTTAAACCGATTTGTCTATATGCTTTAAGCGTACCATAGACTATGTCCTTCTAGGACTTAATATGAGCATTTGCAATGAGAATATAGTTACTTTCTTTGGGTCAGCAAATTCGTCTGGCATGCTTTGCAATATATTGCAAATGAATTATCCTTTTTATGAACTTCAAGTTCATATTATTTTATTGGAGGATCTAGATGTACAAATGATAATTCATTCCACGTAACTTTTTCTCAAATGTTTATCATCTCTCCTCGTCATGTTAGAAAAACTAACTTGCTTCCTCGGTTTTGAAAATCCATCTTTGTACGTTATGGGTTAATCAAAATATACATCGCACATCAATAATAATAAGATGGAATTATTTGGTTCCTGACTCTGAACCACTCGTGAGGTGAGAAAATAATATACTTTCGTATATAACGTATATCAAACTGATATATATATAACTTTGTTCTCATAAGCAATTATTTAGCTATTAAGTGGAGGCACTCAATAAATCATCTTTCTAAACCAACCGTGATGTAAACCAACTTATCAAGATGAACTATCTTGAATAAAAAATTTGGAAATTATGCTCTAAAAATTATTGAGCAAGTTACCTCGCAAATGTCATGTTGCGGGTTAATAATAATCGCACATGTAGCCATCTCATAGATGTATCTTATGTGGTATACATGGCAGATGAATGGCCCATTCACCTTTGATATTTCCAGCATTCATGGGATTCAAGCCCAATTTTAGTTGGTCAATTAATTAATGAGAACAAGCAACGTAAGAGAATTCGTAAAGAACTTTCTAGTTCTTTAATATTTACTCATGTGAGTTCTCTTTTATTTTTGCTTATCATACTTAAATTGATACGGGTAAACCAATTATGCCAACTGAATAAATTATCAATATTGATAAACTTCAGATTTACACCATGACGTGTGCTATTATCAGTAAACTCCAAGTTTATTATGATATGGGTTTTTATATCAATAAATATCCACTTTATTGTGGTATTCTTTTATTTGTGTAGTACAAACTGGAGAATAAAGCGGGTAGCTTTTCACATACATACTACCTCACTACAAGTTGTAGTAATAGAAGATATTAAATCTTTCCTTTATTTATAGTCTCAGTATGACTTGAGACTTACTACAACACAACGTCTTATTGATAATCAATTTTCTCCAAAATAGTATAATTGGCTCTTCTAGAGCTCTCAATTAATTTTGTACTACCACATATTCATCAACATCCATATGGTGAATATCTCTTTTAAAGAGAAAGTTATACCATTATGGTTATGGTCAAAATTATATGCAAGATCTGTTTCTTGCATTACTGTTGTCTTTTAATAATCACATCGCCAAAATAGTTTAGCGTACAATAGGTATGTGACCAATGACCATTCATGCCATAATAATGACATTATTTTCTTATTTCCCCTCAAACCTTATTCTAGAGGTGAGTGTGGTATATTCACTACCACTAGCATGTTCATATTCTTCAAGAATGAATATGTATTCATAAATCAGATGTTGTTACATTCACATCATGAATAGACCATAATCATCTATATGTGCTTTATGAAATCTTATGTCAAATCGATGACAAACATTAACTTCATAGAGTGAAGGTTTATTTTGAGAATCCTTATTATTCTCATTACCACGATAATGACGACTATAATTTCGTCTATTACCACGTCCACATCCATTGATACCTTTACGGTAATAATTTTGTCTTCTTTCACACTTATTGCATATTGCTATCACATTCTCCTAAGGGAATGAGAATGGAGCAAATTCAATGGGACGGGTTTTCAATTCTTGTGCTCGCGATCATACATGACTTTGATCATGGCAAGACATAGAAATTTTACTACTTCGGGTGGTTATAATTTCTTACAAATTCTATTAGAGTTATAATCAAAATTTATCGTCTTTGCTTGTATTTAAAATCAAATTATAGAATGTCAAGAATTTAAAAGAGAAAAATAAAGTAAGATACTTACCTTAAATCCAGAATTTAATCATGAAGGAAGTTCATGGAACAATTGACAATCGTTATATTCAATCCCAACGTTTCTACTCAATTGGATAGAGTCTTGTGCTGATAACGTGTTATAAAACAATAAATGAAGAAGAAGAGTATTGCCGAGAAAAGTAGAGAGAGAATTCTTATTGATATGAGATGAATTACAATGGAATAGAACCCTCTATTTATAGGGAGAGGGTGACTTAGCCACCAAGCAATGAACCCTAGAATCTCTCTAAATATACACTCACCATAAATACAATTCTATTTATAATACAAATGATATCTAAGTTTGTCTAATTTTGGCAATTGTTTTTACATCTCTGTCGGGTAAAAATTAACCTCAATAGGTCCTCAAGTAATTAAAATAGGGACCTAGTCCGAGGAACAAAAAGAAAAGAAGTGATTGAGAAACCAGCATACTTTCATTTTTCTCATCTCCTTAGACAATCCAATTTTCAGCTCTTTTTGGCATGTTGAAAAGATTGGCCGAGCTTAAATTTGAAGTCGTCACAACAGTGGCAAAAGGCGTTACAGATTGAGCATAATTTATTAATGTTATTAGCATATAAAACCCGTATTTGCACAAAAATATAATAAAAGTAAAAGATCCAGGTTGAACACTAATTTTGCTAATAAGATATTGCTTGCTAGCTTCCAAAGTGCCAAAGTATTAAAACCAACAAATAATTTCCATTCAAAAGTACTCCCGTTATCTGAAAAAGACCAAACATAAAATTTTTATAATCCAAAAAGCTAATTCCAATTAGAACAAAAAAGGGCAGCCTGATGCACTAAACTTTCATTATGCACATGATCCTTGGAAGGACCAGACCGCAAGGATCTATTGATTCAAATTTATCATTAAGGAAAACTAGCAATTACTTTACCCTTTAACATAGTCCTGAGATGGCAACTGGAGCATCCCTTCGCACTAACGTAGTGGACTAAAGGAAATAGGAGCGCACTGGCGCATTTTGGCAAAGACAAGCTAGCACACTACATCATGGTGTCGTAAAAATAGCACGAGCTAGTCAATTTTCGGACTGGTCGTTCAAAAATAGCCAGCGTTTGTAAAGTTATTGAAAAATAGCCACTATTTTGCTGCAACAGGGACCGGTCCAGCATGATATACTGGAGATCGATGCACCTGTGTATGAACTTCCAGCATATTATGCTGGAACTCCAACACGCGGAAAGTTCCGGCATAATATACTGGAGATTGGAGCACCTGTGTATGAACTTCAAGCACATTATACTGGACCGGTATATTATACCGGAACTCTAGTATATTATGCCGGAGTTCTAGTATACTTATGCTGGAGTTCCAGTATACTTATGCTGGAACTCCAGTATATTATGCTGGAGTATTTTCCGAATTTTGAACAGTGTTTTCGTTTAAATGATCACTTGTGAATATGGCTATTTTGGATTTCTCCCCACGATGTTATCATTTTTGAGACCCCTCCCCCCTTTACTTTAATGTCATTACTATCGGACTTTATGGGGACTGCAACTGCGCGCGTTCAGTCTCTTCTATGTAACCTTGTTCTCTCCTATAATAATATAAGCCTGTTAGGGAAAGAGGGGCGAACTGAAGATGGAACTTTCTCGAACTTCTTAACTTATTTAGAGTTTGGTCAAATGTACACGTTTATTACCATATACTGTACATTTTATTTCCAATTAGAACCTGCCAACTTAATAATGAAGCACCATACTACGAAGAGAGAATACATGTGATGAAGAAATAATGGGTTCTCACTATTGAATTACATGAATTCAAGACTCAACCCCAATTGGGGAGTTCGTGATATTACTTTGACACCGTCAATGACTTCACACGCCAAACTCGTCATCATTGTAGTAATGCTCCCTGTAAATGCAAACAAAGAGATGAAAAAAGTTACGACAATGAAAAATCAGATAGCCGAGCCCAACTTTCTTGGAGTTGACTCAGTAATTGTGGTAAAAAGAGTTGAGACAATGATGCAGCATAAATAAGGAGGAAAAAGAACATGGCCGTAAAAGAGGAAGAGTGGAGGCCAGGAAACTTTATAACAAGGCAGGATTTTAAACATTAAAGTGCCAACAACTGCTTTGAATAGAAGCATTTCGACAGTAATTAGAAGTATCTATGCTTCACTAGCATTTCTACCTCAGTCTTTCACAAAGTCGTGCTAAAGCATCAGCTCCTGTTCTCGAGGCAATATCCTCAACCTCCAAAGCGTTGGATAGATTCACAGTTTCTGCAAGCTGAAACTCGCACAGCTCCTTCAGCGAACATGCATCTGTCAACACTGCAGAATGTCCACCACCAGCAGCCAATTTCCGGACTTCCCCAACACAGCTGAACAAAACCGATGCTCGAATAAGAAATGACATTGTATCAAAAGATTTTCAAGGTCTATAATTAAGCAATAGGCTCTCACGAATCATACCAATCAACTGGTGACGGATACCAGGCATATGTTGACTTCTCATTAGCCGCTTGACCGTAGCAATTGTAACCCCATCCATGTATTCGTCCATCTTTAGCAGAAATAAGCGTGTGTGAATGCCCACAAGCAACAAGTTGCACACCATCTGGAACGACCAAAACTGGTATATTTCGGAGCATCATCTCAGATTCATTGAGTTTGCACGAAAAGAATCCATTTAGGGGCCCAACTCCCAATTGCCCAGCCTGACCTCCACCCCAAGCATAAAGAGCCCCTTTCGCAGTTACAGCACAGCTGTGAACACCACCACATGAAACTTCTTTTATAACTATGCCATCAAGGGCAACTACACGCCTAGGTAAAAGTTCCTTGTCACCTGACTGAAGGGAACAATGCCCAAGTTGTCCCATGCTTCCCAATCCCCACGTATAGCTGTAGTTAGTCAAAATGACAGTAAGATAAGTCTGCGAGCATCAAAATCATACGAAATGGACGGGGGAGCAGAAAAGAGTATCAATCACATGATCTATAGCAGCTGTTGATGAGTGAAACACAACCATCACTAAGTTGTATGATACTTCAAGAGATGAAAGATAGAGCAGAAAAAAGTGAAAGCCAAGAGTCAAATGGTCAATCCGAGAAGCAGACCAGGTAATGCAGTTTCCAATTTGGAGAACAGAAATTCATTAGTCCAATGAATTTCTTGACACAGCTTTTGATTCTTCACTATAAAAGAGGCACTAAATGAAAGCAAAGATTCCAATGAAATATAAGAAATCAAACAAAGAAAAAGAGCCTTGGAACAATTTTATCAGCTTTAGTCCACAAGCCCGTTGGGTCGTTAAGTCCAAAAAGGTTAATGAGCGGTACAACAGAGAGATGGCAGATCATCATGAAGATACATGTAGTGATGGTTCTTATTCATTTGATGAAGGGTCAATGACTAACTCAGACCCACAATGACTCAGAAAGTTCAATTTTACCGTGACAAGCAAGGCTGCACTAGTGGCAAGAGCATTTACCAAGTGACAGAGACACCTCCCAACCAGAAAGCAAAGTTCCACTGATGGTATACTTAGTGTAAGCGAGCTCTAAGATCACATCTTTGGAAGTGGTTGGGAGTTTTGTCACCACGGTATGTTCGTTGGCGCAGGGTGGGGTTTTACCATAACACAAAAATAGTTCAATTTGCGGTAAACAAGTTCAATTTTTACCATAAATTCGTACCAACATAGGAAAGAACAAGCAAGGAAGAGAACGTTGCTTTTACTATGGCATAAGCAAATGATAGTATACTATTATAAGGGGTCCTTGGAAGGAAATTTCTTATCTCAAAGAGCTTTGTGATAAAGATTCCTTCTTAAATTGGAAATGGAAATAACTAAACTCTAATCTTCTACAGCTATTCAACTTGTAGTTGTTCTACTGTGGGGGATGTCCCTCTGCTCTAAGCCTCTATGTATCTTCTTTTAATGTACGTGTGTGTGTGTGTTTATGGATGCGGTAGTTTCTAGGAATACTATCTAACAAATCCTGTAATTGAGACCAGAAGTCATGAGAAATTTTGCAAATGTAATTTTTCAGCAGCGACCAGGCTTTCGATGATTCAAAAGAAAATAAGAGAAGTTTCAAAAATGGGCAAAACAAATCATGCAAATCAAGTAGTGTGTATCTTTATGGTTCATTTTCCCTGACATCCACCTCCATTTGTGCCATGCGGATAACCACAATTCTCATGCTTAGCATCAAAACTTATCTCCATCAAGAAAGGTCCAATGAACACTTACACCTCGCCTTTCTCTGATATAGCCGCAGTATGGTACTCCCCGCATGACACTTGGGTAATCTTCACAAGTTCAGGGGCTTCCTCGAGAAATTTAGCATATCCATTAATTACACGAGGGCCTTGAAGGCCTTCAGATGTAACACCTCTCCCAAGCTGACCATATTCATTATAGCCTGCTTTACCAGAGCAGTGACAAAATTTTCATTAATACATGACACAATATGTTTTTTAACTCTATTGCTGTGTAACCTGATAGAGAAGGTACACATGAAAAATATAGATCACAAACACGGATCCATACACTTATGCAACGACTTCATCAAAATTATCAGGAGGATATATTAAGCATAGAATGGCATACAGGTGAATCAAGAAAGTGCAAATTACCCCAAGCTTGCAGCAAGCCTTCTTCTGATAAAGCCACAACATGAACAGCACCACAAGAAACTTGGCGGATAACCTGAACGAAATGGAAGAGCATATAAATTTCATAAGATTTGTTGCACGTTGTGATGCCAAGTCGCTTCTTGTATAAGGAGACCCTGAATTAAATCACTTGCATGTAATAACCAAAGATACAAGTTATACATGCATATGGTGCATACATGATAACTATTTTGCACGTAATAACCAATAAATCTTATTGCAAAATATCAAATGTAAATCTGCTAGCACATTAACACAACAACAACAACAACAACCCAGTATAATCCCACATTAACACAAAAAATGATTATTTAAAACTTGATCAAACCTAAGCCTCAACCCAAAAAAAAAACCCTGCTTTTAGATGGCCAGCAACTTCTTAACAAAAAAGAAAAAGCTTAGGCGTAGATCGGATATATACTTCAGGAAAAAATAAAACTGCTGTCGTAACATAAATGCAACTAGATAAATGGTTAAGCCCCACTGGTACCACACAGAAGTGATACATTTGCAAGAGAATCAGAGAAATATCCTCCAAAGAAAATTCTCAGGACAGAGTTGATACCGTAGAAGGAGCAAAGGCACCCCAAAAGAGTCGTGGATAGTTGGATCCCTGCACAGAATAATATGGGCAAAAGAATTGTGACCTCAAATAAACAAGGTAACTGTTGAATCTGAAGGTTTTGTGAGACTGACCTGGTTCTGTCCCCACACCCAAAGTCTCCGAGTTGACATAGTACCATCATTTTCACGTGGTTCTGCAATAGCAGCAGTGCAATGTGCTCCACATGAAATGCTAATAACAAATTCAGATTGTAATAGCTTCACTTTCTTGGGGTGCTTCCTAGCACTTTCAGTTCCATCACCCAGCTGACCAAATTCGTTAGCCCCTGTTTGAAAGTATAAAAATTAGGAGCGTTCTATAAATTATTTCATGTGGCAATGAGAAGTCAATACCACTCTCCTACAGGAAAGCAAATTCCTCGCAAACAAAAGCAGGATCAGGAAATCACTTGTCTAATAAATAGAAGTGCAGGTTCTTCCAAAGACGAAAACTTGACAAGTAAACTGAACTGTACAATATCAACTTAAAAAACATTAAGTGGTGATATCTTCCTTGCAGTATACCTCTTTGCATAAAGGAATATAAAACAATTGTTAAAGCAAGGAAATTTATTTGAGTAGAAAATACACGAAATCCTTGCAAGATCAATTAGAGAGGCAGTAAATGACCAACAGAATAGTGCAATGCCTCATGTTATCAGCAAGAATAGGGCAATGAGTTTGAAAGGCACAATTTAAAGAAAATGGCTGACCAGCCGAGGGGGATTAAACCATGTTCATGAAAAATGAAATGATACCATGGTTTACATGAGAGTTCATCATTCGTTAGGAAGAAGCCAATAGAAGATTCACTATCATCAAGTTTCTTTCAACCCAGACGTGGATATTCTTTCAATGTGATATCCAGGTAATCCACACAAATACCACCGATAAAACACTCTCTGCTCCAGCTTTTCAGAAAAGCTTTAGTTTGTGGGATGAAGAAAGACCACAAACGAAACAGAAGAAAAAAAAGGTGGTTTTACATCCCGTATTTCACATATTCTTGCGGTACACCATGTTCTAAACCCAATTTTGATCCATAAATTTATTTATTGCTTGCCTGCTCCTATGTCATCAGACCAATGTTAGCCTGATCAAACTAAAGACTATGTTTCCCTTTCTTGATCCCACTCAATTTATGTCAAGAAAAAACAGAAATATGCGGACATTCGAAGTTGTGATTCTCACACACAAAAAAGGTACTTGGCTAGAAAAGACCAAAACTTTGGCAAATTTTGTAGTTATCAATCAAGAAAAGCAACTATAACAAACAAAATTAAACATGGATGTTTAAAATGACAGAAATAAAGGCAAAAAAAGTCAAACCCCAGGTAAAGAGCGATCCATCAGAGGCGACAGCAGCAGTGTGTTCACGACCACAAGCAATATCCAACCAACGAGAATTCCCACCAGCTGGGCATCCAAATAGCTCCGGCGGAAGCTGCTTTGGTATCCTCAAGCTCCTCTCTTTGTCCCTCCGACCCGTTTGCCCAGAATGGTTGTAACCCCAAACGTAAATTGCACTCTTGTTTGGTAGACTCACGGGCCGCCGAGACTCCCCAAATATTTCATCAATATCCATTTAATTTAACTTATCAAGAAGAAAAGTTAACCTGATGAATTACACAACACTAAAGAAATGATCTTTTGCTGCTATTTTTGCAAATAGAATTATTCCAAGTCTCAAACTTTGACCAGAAAATGTAAGTTGAAGAACTTAAATGAAATGGATAAGGATATATAAATGGGTTGAAATATTTCCGGGAAATTTGAAGAATTTAAGGTTGCAGTTTCAGCTCCAAAGAAAATGGGATGAAGAGAGGGGCAGGCACCAGTGCTGATTCCTGCCCGACCGTTTTGCTCCAACCGATTTTTCTAGACCTTTTACTTTAACTGCAAATCAACTTTCATATATACGAGGATATTTCATTTATTTGATCAAAATTTTGATATGTCTTTCATTTAATTTTATGTGATATTGTACTTTTTAGTAACAACAATAACAACATATAATTTTATTTAATAGGGTTTGGGGATGATAGTGTTTATCCAGACTTTATCTCTGCCTTGACGCTATATTCAACTTTTTAGTTCGGTTTGAAAAAACATATGATTAAAAAACAAGAAGATAACCCGATGCACAAGGTATCTCGCATTCACGCAGGGTCCGAAAAAAAAATCATAACCCAAAGTATGATGTAGAGAACCTACACATAGAAGACAACTTTATCATTGCTCTAAAGCTCCCTTAAAAAAACATATGTTATATCTGAAAAATAATCTAATACTCCCTCCGGTCCAAAATAAGTGATTTTTTGGACTTTTGTCCCGTTTAAGCTGAAGCATAAGAATGACGGATTTGTGTCCAGCGTGTGATCACAGCCGGTATCGCCTTTTTCTTGTGGTCCAAAATAAGTGATTTTTCCAGATTTCAAGAATGAATTAATTATTTTTTTCCTACATTGTCCTTGGAGTAAATAGTGTTAGAATATGTGTTAGGAGTGTTTATGTGAGATAGTAAAGGTTAATATGGTCGATTCCATTGCTAATCAATGTTAAAAGGTGAATTTCTTAATCTGTGTGAAAACATCCAAAAAAATCACATATTTTGGACCGAAGGGAGAACCATTTTGTTGCTTTTGACTTTGAATCGCATGATGAATAAGGAAAGGGGATGTGTAAAACTTTTATAGAATTTACTTATTTGTTTGGTTTATATTGACCAAGGAAATTAATAGCAGTCAATGGAAAAATTACCTTCTTATTTAAGTTTATTTAGAGCCCGTTTGGCTTAGCTGATTTAGAGTAGCTGATAAGCATTAGGTGCTGAAAAGCACTTTTAAGTGCTGAAGCTGATTTAAAAAATAAGCAGTTACGTGTTTGGATAAAAGTGCTGAAATTAATAATAAGCAGCTGAAGAACTGGGTATACGAAGAGTTTTATTCTAAAAAGAAGTATTTTAGGGATAGAATAATAAATATTTTGGTCAAACCTAAAGTGCTTATAAGCTGAAATTTGATAAGTTGGGGGAGACCAACTTATGACTTTTGGCTTATTTTTGGCTAATAAGCACTTAACTTGTAAGCACTTTTAATTTTACCAAACGCGTAGATAAGCCAAAAAGTGTTTATAAGCCAGTTTGACCAGCTTATAAGCTTAGCCAAACACCCTCTTATTACTATGATATTGGTTTAAATTACTTTAAAAAACTGATGATCATTAAACGTGGTTCACACTTCACATAACTCCGGAGACCGTCTAGGTACATAGCGTAGACTTTAAATTTCCTATAATTATTTTCACACGGTCCACATCAAGACTGTAGTATTTTAATAGAGTTGACCAACTACAAAATATTTTTTCAAAAAAAGAAAGAAAAACATCTAAAGAACAATAACATAAGGAGAAGACGTGATTTTAGTTTCGGACCAAAAGATTAGTACGTAATTTATATGCTTTCGTCAAGTTGTCCGAAATTCCCAATTTCCACGAGGTAAGCTTTCTGATTAACTGTTAATTTGACAATTTCCCATTTGTTACTTTCCATATATGTGTCTGTTAGAATTTAGAAACACTTTGCTTCGCCGGATTTCTGAAATTGGCCTCTCTTTATTTTCCAGCTTATCAAATTTTGATTTAGTTATGCTTTGGTTCAAGAAGTGTAATACTCATGAAACTGAAGCTTTGAGTATATGTTCTAGCAGTTTCTTTTTCTGGATATATGTTAACTTTTAGGTGGATTAGTTCATTAATCTGGGAACTTCAGATTTTTTTTTGAAGATACCAATTTCTTGGGTGATATGAATTGGGGTTCTTGAAATATTCATATTTATTTTTTCTCCTTCCTATAATTTTCAAATATCGTCTAATTTCATATTATAGAACATATAATTGAAGATTAAAGAACATTGAGATAGAATGATTTAAAGTTCCCTAGGTGGGAGATATCAGGTACTCGTGGAATAAGTCGAGGTACGCACAAACTGACTCGAACACCACGATTATAACAAGAATCATTTAAAGTTCAACATAGGGATAAAGCCAATTCTAATTTTCTGGTCTTGGACGTGTAAAACCATTATTAGCAGTCAAGTTCATGCTTTATACCATAGACATCCAATAATTTGAAATGGAGGCAGCGAAATTTGGAGTTAGTGGAATCAGAACGCAGACGGTCTATCACATATATCAATTTTTTTTACTCATGCGCATATGTAGAATTGTCGAGGTCCGAACCAAATAAATGGGTGCAGTGCGCTCACCAGAAGGCTAGATTGACCCATTCTATTAGAGAGTGAGAAACTTTTTCCTCTGTTGCATAGTTCGTTAAGTAAATCTGAAGAAGATAAATATCTAGGAATGTGATTTCATTTCTTGAACTTGACAATGGATCATCATGTGATCACGAGCTGCACTGTCTTCCAAATTCTTTTTGTGATATAAGGTAGGACAGATTGGGAGGTGAGAACCTAAACGCATCTGCACTTTATTCTAGATGATTTATTCTGTATGACTGAAGAACGATATGAGGTTAGTTAAAATGACCTTTTTCTGAATGTATGAAATTAGGTTCTTGCGTCGATCAATGGCCACCAACAGTGCGAAGAAATTTATTCGAATTGATATCAGTTCAGATACTGTCTGTCCCTGGTGCTTTGTGGGGAAAAGAAACCTTGATAAAGCAATAGCGTTAGCCAATGAGCAGTATGATTTTGAGGTGCCGTTTGCTTCTTATCTGTGCTTCCATTTCAACTGGTTCCTTTATTTTTACTGGCAAAATTCTGTTTTGCAGATTAGATGGCATCCCTATCTCCTCAACCCTTCTGCGCCTAAAGAAGGGGTTAACAAGAAAGATTACTACAGAAGTAAGTTTGGGCCTCGCTCTGAACAGATGACTTCAAGAATGACAGAGGTTCATATTTTCTTCTTTTCTCTTATTGCCCAAACAATATGTCTTGAAAAGTTGCCTGTGGAGTGAATCGCCTTATTGTAATCTTTTCAAAATCGTGCAGGTTTTTAAGGGCCTTGGGCTGGAATATAACATGTCAGGACTTACGTAAGTCTGATTAGTCTGTGTCTTATTTACTCAATGCTGTGAAGTGCAAAAGACTTTTGTGTTATAAAAAATGGTTGGTTTATTTGGGTATGCAGAGGAAGTAGTTTGGACAGCCACAGACTTCTATATTTCGCAGGACAACAGGGGCTTGACAAGCAAAATAATCTTGCTGAGGAGATTTTTCTTGGCTATTTCACACAGGGAAGGTATATAGGTGACAGGTTAGTACCTTTCTTCCCGACAGCGTAAGGTTTGTTGCATTAGCATACTTCTGTTATCCAGTAACAAAATTCAATTTTTTAACTTTTTCCTTCCTATAGGATTTTCGTCCTGCTTGTTGTTAGTGACTCAGGAGTAGCGATTTTTAAGTTTCTTCCTTTTATAATCCCCTTGGCTCAATGACCAACACTGATATTTAGCTAAGCATAAAGCTTACAAGCGAATAAAAGTCACTGATGAGCTTTTTCCAGTGATTACCAGCTCATGCAATTTTCCTAATGGACAGAATCGATTTCTTTGTTTTTCTCTTATTTCTCCTTCTTTTCTTTTTGGAATACCTGGGTGTTAGTGGGGAGGTCAGGTTTGAGGAGAGTAACGTTGCAATTCTTTGGTCACGTGCTTTTGCAAGGACACCACTAAATATTGAAAACTTTGCTTCAGATAGTCCAACGTCGTCAGTGTTGACTACAACTATGATAATTATTAATCATTACAGTGATGCATCACTATCAACAACCTTTTCTGCTTATTTTTATGCTCTATGAACACAATCAGATGTTAAATATACTAAATATGGTGATGTATAATTTCTTGAAGGGAATTTCTTGTAGAAGCTGCAAGAAAGGTTGGTGTAGAAGGAGCAGCTGACTTCCTTGAGGATCCAAACAATGGGCTAAAGGAGGTATGTTTCGCAGCTTTTGTTCAATAGTCAACCCGGAGAGTCTGCCCACTTTTTTTCTTGCTCTTTCCTTTCTCTCGGAAGGTTTGTGAGCGAGAGGGACAGGTAGTTTCTGCTTCAGAAACAGCTAACGACATGTTCAACTATATAGCACTTCTCACATAGCCAAGCTCAATACTATCTTTACTTGGCAGTATTGGCTAGTCTTTCCTTGTTCTGCTCCATGATGGACCATGTCATTCATATAACGTGTTACCTAATTCTCAACACCTATTCACTACTCAGCAGCAAGATATATCAAAATTTTATACTATCTCAAGTAAATGCTGCTATTTTTTGGTATGTGAAGGTGAATGAAGAGCTTCAGCAGTACTCATCTAATATATCAGGGGTTCCACATTTTGTGGTATGCCACACAACTTATCACATTGTGCCATGAGCACTTTCGATATGTTAATCCATGAATTAGAATACTAAGCAGTTATATTCGGCAGTTAAATGGCAAGTACCAGTTGAGTGGTGGCCAACCTCCAGAGTGCTTCATCCGAGCTTTTCAAGCTGCTTCAAATATCACAGTGTAGTTCTTCTTCAATTTCACGTGGAGTCTGTCTGCCGCTGCGAAGTTGTATGCCCACTGGACAGATGCTTGTGGAGCTTTCTTAAAGTAAGAGGAAATATTGGATCAATGTTATTCCTCTAATATAAGTTAATATTGTGGATTCTATGATTTGGTAATAAAATCCACTTAGATGTTTGACGGTCTGTATAAGAAGTGTTTGTTGATGACTTAATTTTCCTGCAGTATTTGTTTCTGTTTTACATTGAAGGTCGAGATATTTATGCCATAATTGAGATGATCTATATTGAGATGCCAGATGCATTTCGCATGTTTCTTAGTAAATATGTAGTTTTCCTGTCAAATTCTTATTATATTGCACTTTTTTTTTTGGTAACATTATGAATTACCATTAATATCATCAAACAGTTAGAAACTAAAGAGCACCTCCTTACAATAAACTGTGAGCTTCACAATGGCCTCAGCATGTCTGAACTATACAGCTATTGCCTGCAAAAAAACCTGTACATTTTCGTGCTTTCTTTGAGTTCCTTAACTTCCAGCCTATCTATTACTTCTTTTTTAATCTGTACAACTGTAACCTCAGTATTTACATTAGTTCCTCTAACAATTTTCCAGTTCCTAGCTTTCCAGGTGTCGTATGGTAGATGACTGCTACCAGAATAGCGGCAACTACTTCCTTCTTGAATTGCTTCCATTTATCCTTTTTGATACTCCTTAGAACTAAGGGCACATCTCCTCCAGAAAATTTAACACCAGCCCATTGCATTACTGTAACTCGCACTTCTTTTGACCAACTACATTCCATTAACAGGTGTTGGGCAGTCTCATCAACCTGATCATTACACATACAGCAGTTGATATCATTGACCCGGATGTGTAACTGTTGTAGTCTCTCCGTCGTTAGCAACCTTTTCTGATAAGCCAGCCAGGTAATAAATCTGTGTTTAGGCTGGGCAATTGCATTCCAAATAAGGTCAGCAGTTTCTAGTTTCCTGCGAGTTCCAATAATGGTCAGGTAAACTCTTTGTAATTGAGTAATGTCCTGCCTGAGTGGCTTAAAATGTACTGGTCTTGCTGAAACCAAGTATGCATTTCCTGCTTCAAATAGTTTTAACTTCCTCCAATACCAGCTACTGTCGTGGGGGGCAGTATGAGCCCAGATACTTGAATCTGTTTTTATATATAGTCCATGTACCCATTTCACCCATAAGTTGTCTTTTTTCACAATAAGCTGCCAAAGCAACTTCCCAACTAAAGCCTTAATTCCACTCCTTACACCTTTTAACATTCAAACCCCCACTGCTTTTTGGCAAGCAAACTTTAGCCTAAGCTACTAGGGAGATCTTCCTCTTTCACTACACTCTGTGGGAGAATGAACACAGTGCCCCAAAAATTGTGGATAGAAAATATGACAGAATTGATCACTTGAAGCCTGCCAACATATGATAGTTTCCTGGCATAGCCAAATTTGAACATGAACAGCACCACAAGAAACTTGGTGGATAACCTGAACGAATTGGGAGAGCATATAAATTTCAGAAAACATGTTGAGTACTACAAGTACCACACAGAAGTGATGCATTTGCTTGAGGAACTGAGATGTATCCTCCAAAACTAATTCTCAAGACAGAGTTGATACGGATTTTGGGGCTGAGCAACTTGTTTTTCTGTTAATATATTTCAATGTATTTTTAACGTATCACGCTGTATTTTCATGTATTTCATCGTATTCATTATCTTATTTTTCATTGTAATTCAATGTATGTCGTAGTATTTCATATATTTCATTGTATTCACTGCCTTTTTTTTCCATTGTATTTCAATGTATCCCGTTGTATTCTATGTATTTCATTGTATTCACTGTCTCGCTATATGCCATGAATGTATTCATATATTTTTTTTAATTAATATAATTTATATATTCAGATGTATTATATAATTTCTCTGAAGATTGCTTTGTTTTTGGTGCATTTTTCGGTTGAAAATCTTTTTTATAACTGAAAATACAAAATGTGTGTGTTATAATTGAGTTTGTTGAGTTATATTATGAGTCTATTATGTTAATTGATTCACTTTCCGTTTTAAAAACAGTGTAATCCCCTATTTTACGCCGTGAATACAGTCGAATACAGTCAAATACAATAATTTGTCCAGCTGTAATCCCACGTTTCACTCCGTGAATACAGTCGAATATACTCGAATACAACAACTGATTAGCTACTTCCCTGATTCACGCCTATTTTTGCTACTGTATTCATGAATACAATAGCTTAAATACATCAAATACATTTTATACCCGCAGAAAAGGTATTTATAATCCGTAATATAGCAAATGGTATCTATAGATGGCTAATTACTACTAAAAGATAGTGCTTTATGAAAATTTCTGGAGATTGGAAAATGAATCTTACCTCCTTACTATAGTTGATGGTTTTTGCCATTTACACGTCATGAAATTCGTATTGCCACTTACTCCCTTCAGTCCATAATAATTAATAAGTGATATTTTGATATTTTTATTCTGGTTCAAAATAAGTGTTCTTTTATAATCAAGAATGAATTAACTTTAGTTTTTCAAATTTGCCTTTATTTGAATATCCCAATGTGTCAAGTTAACAATAAGCAAATTTTATTTGTATTACAGCTGCTCTAGGAAGATTATTTCCTCCGTTCATATGTAGAGCCAACAATTTACTTACTCTCTCTCAGGTCATATATTTTAAATAACTTCTAAATCATGGAAAATTAGTTGCATCTTCATAATATACTGATAGTATGACTCTGAAGGACAACAATTGGACTAAAGGCAGAGGCTACAAAGTTTACGAACAGAGCAAAAACAAGATTTAATGTATGCTACCACTAGATGTAACAAGGTACTTAATGGGATAGGAAAATGGAAAAAGCCAATCCCATGGACATCTAACGCCTTTGAAATTTATATAAAATAAATCACCCTTCTTTGTCTAGTATGAGTATTGAGAATCAGGTTTAACAACAAACAAATTGTGATAATGATAGCAGAATAGAAACATAAAAGTCAGTGCATGTTATGAAGTCCAAGCACCATTATATTATATTCCCATTACCTGCAACCCTTAGATGTTACTCTTCTCGAATGTCATCATACCTCCCAAAATGGCCAGCTGAAAATGTGAACATTTAAGACATTGAGAACGAAGGTAAATCATCACGAAAAAGGAAAATAAAATTAAATGAGACACATAAGCAGCTCCATGAATAAAATAATGTTTCCGGTTTACATAAATAAACATCAGATACCTGTATAATTTATCTGATGTGGCCTCCTCCACCACCATGGTAAGATGCAAAGGAACATCAGCACTCGCTCTTATCACAACTAACTCCACTGATTCTCCCACATGCTTCCACATGTCATGAAATAGCTAAAGACAATTTGAATAACAAAAGAAAAAGCTATTAATACCAATAGGATATTGCATTTCTTATTGTATGCATGTTTTCTCCTTGTTAGTGTTGATAGTATTTGTGTGTATGCATGTATATATCTCAGTACGTTTACTTGAATGCTACATTGTATTGATTAACTAGAAGAATAGGAGGGTTCTTGGCAGAGTAGCACATAGGCTACCATTAAGGTCCAAAACAAAAACCCAATAAACATCTAGTAATAGCATCAATTAGACCTGATAAAAAAAGCCAGGCCTGGCAGGGCTGATCTCGGATCTGAATTCCCTTAAGCCATAGCCTGGACTACCAATTTGGATACTTTTTACATGTATATTTTCTCATAACCTTGAGGAAAATGTCTACCCAATCTGATCCAAATAATAAGAGGGATTGAGTGGGTGAACCTAGGCAGTCTCGAAGAAAAAAGAAAACCCAGTACTTTGCAGTTCCATCAAACTATGACTAAGACTGGCACCAATATAGTTATCAAACCGGTCAAAAATTACCCTTTAACATGACCAAATTGCTAATGCAAATGTAATGAAGGGACGTTTATGTCCTAGGGATCATATAAAAAAGACAAACGAACACACATATTAGAACAAGTGTCTTCCAAAATTTATACATTTTCTATGTTCCTAAGATATATAGCCTACCTAGTAACGATGAGGCATGGGCATATAAAAACACAGAATAGCTTGACCTGGTTTACCAATCAACTGGTAGAGCGGCCAGATGTCTAGTAGTTGAAATTTTCAGCATATAGAAACTACTATAAGCAATTTTTAAAATTTTAGCCCAACTCTTTGCCTTTCTGACATTAGAGGTAAGAACTACTGCAAATGAAAAGAAGGGAACAACATTATACCTCCAAGAAACTTGGAACTTTTCTGCCACCGAATTGAATTATGACATCGTTGTGTTTTAGCCCAGCAAACTCAGCAGAACCACCAGCTATGACCTACTAGACAGTTCATCAAATTATCCAGCAATTAATAAAAATAATTTAGTTAATTCAAAACTAACCACATACATGGTTGAATAGTAACTAAACAGAAGTTCATAACCTGTGAGAAAAAGTTGAACTATGTTGTTTAATTTAATTGGTAAATCAACCACTTGAAAAGAATGAATTACATTAAGGCCACCAAACATATTAAAAAGCAAAAAAGAGAAAAGAATAGATGCAATGCAGATGCTCATGAATATATTTTGCCTCAATGAACTTCAAAACCGGCCACTTATGGAATAAATCAAAGACAAATGACTTGTATCCCCATTTTCTCCAAGAACATCAAAATTATAGAATTAAAAATATCCTAGTGTCTGCATCGACAAAATTTTGAATGTGGTAAAAAGTTGTAAACTAACTCTGAGATACATTAAGTCCATCAACGACATGACAAACATGAATTTATCATGAAAGCAAATTAAATGATGAACAAGCATATGCATTCAGCGGATGAAGATAAGTAGCAACCAAATAATGATAAAGTTGCTATTAACAGGTCAAAAAAAAAATCATTACCACTTAAAGACATCCTGTAGGCTAATAAATATACATATCGGTCATGAACAGTAATGGCAATTTATTTATGCCTTCAAATATCCTCAAGGAAATTCAGTTTTCACATTAAGTTTCTAATGAAACACTATTTGAATGAATGCAACTTGAAACAACACTCTGGGCAGAGAACCTTAAAAGTTCGGTTCTCTTTCAACTGTTAGTTATCAGTGACCGACTAAAGAAAGTAGGCATATGTGAATAATTTTATTAAGTCTTAATGCCAATGTGGCAATGTCAGCCAATAGGCTTAAAAACAAAACGAAAATTGAAATGAGGTTGACTTGGAAGTTGTCCAGTTAGAGGAGGACGCCGGAGCCAATGGTGACCGAAGAGCACCTTTAGATAATATTAAAATACAACATTGAAAAAAAAGGCTACAAGTAATTTTGTTTCTTTCATCGGATCTCTAAGAGAGATAATGACTCCTCAAGTTTGATGACTAACACTAAAAGTACAGGCTCGATCATAACCAACCAAAAACTTCATAACCACTAATCCTGAGCTCGTGGATTTAACAACTTGTTTTTTTTTTTATAAGTAAAAGAACCAGATTCATGAGAATGTTGCCAAGGTCTAAGTGGCTGGTATCATACGACAAGTATTCATCAACCAAATATTGATCCAAGCTTGTCACATTTTAGTATAGGCAACAGGGAAAAGAGGGCATCAACAATAACAATCACCTCGGCAAAGTTGCCTAAAACAACTTGTCAATTCACCAATTTTTATTCACCATTTTTTACAGTAGCCATCAGCCAAGGATAAGGGGTTGTATCCCTACTAGTGTTAAACAACAACATACCCCGTGTAATCCCACAAGTGGGGTTGGGGTCTGGGGAGAGTAGTGTGTACGCAGACCTTACCCCTATCTTGTGCATGTAGAGAGGTTGTTTCTGATAGACCCTCGACAAGGAAAAAATACGAATGCGTCTGCTGGGAGTTGACTACCATATATATTTTCACATTAATCTGGAGTTAAGCAATCAGATATCTGAACTGTGCATGCATTCAAATACAACTAAATCCTTTGTGTACTAACATGAGAACATCAAAAGATAGTTCACAAAGGTGTACCTTTAGTTTACAAAGGTGCACCTTGGTCAGATGGCATGGCAAGGCCCAATCATCTATGCTCAATCAGCTTAATGCTAGACACATCCTATTGAGTGTTTGCCTAGGCTCTTAGAAAAAAACGTTAGGCAAGTCTTTAAGGCACTCTTCTTAAAGACCTCATGGATGTTTTTCAACATTATTAAACAGTTAGTGGGTCATTGGAAGTGCAGACATAAATGACATTTTCCCTGTGTTTGAACATCAAAACGAGATGCCATGAGAGATAGGACAATTCAATAAACAGCACATTGTCACACTTCCTTTTTTACACACCCACCCCGAAGGAGAATGTATAAGGGAGTTTTTCCATTTAAAGTGACATTATTCGAAATGGGATTATTTATTTATTTTTCAGAGTCGCCACTTGGGATAGGTTTGGTTTTTTGGTGTCCCAAGTCACCGGTTTATCTTGAATCCCAAATCGAGAAAAATTTCGACTTCCCAATTGGAGTCTGCGAACCAGAAATTCTGAATAAGGAATTCTGTTGACCCGAGGGAAGGTGTTAGGCACCCCCGGGTCCCGTGGTTTTAGCACGGTCGCTTAAATTATTATGAATGGCTAAACATCTGGTTTTATACACATTCCCACATATAATGCAATTTTTGAGATTATTTACCGCTTTAATTATTATTTTTTTTTTACAAAAGTGAACGCCGTTTAAGAGCGTGCTTTTGGATCACGTCACATGAAATGCACCCGGATCCGCGACACCTCTTATTCGACGTTTTGGGAATCGAATTTGGGTTGCATGAAATGCACACCCGAGTTTAGGAAAGTAATATTATCAAAATTCGCGCCTAAAGTGGCTAGCGTCTTATTAACTTTGCGGGAAGCCATGAAAATTCGCTAAATGACATGTCCCGAATTTCTAAAATATTTTTAATAAAGTATTTAATGAGGGCCCCGCAATTTATGCATTTTTATTTGGCGAGGTTCGTCCCACTTTTATTTAAAGGCCAATCCTAAAGTAACTATTATTTTTCTATTACAGTCGTCTCTAAACAGTCCCTAATTAATTCACATTTATAAAATTCGGGCTTCAAGTTCAAGTCCGAATTCAAACAAAAGGGAAGACCCTCTTAATTTGAATCCGCCACCTAATTTGAAACCCAAATTTATATTTGTGAATTAATTCCCGATATCCTAATGTAGTTTTTAAAAGACTTTTGGACTTAACAATTTGGGCCTTGAGCATTAGCCTAGGGTTTTATGAATGCTGCTGTGTTTCATTTAAAGCTGGCCCAGTTTTGGGCCTCTGATGTCGTCCTTGGGCCCTTTGTTGTTAACCAGCATGAGTCTTATATAAACAAGCTGAGGGATTTTGGGCTAGAAGCCCAATTGAATTCAAACAGATGGGTGAGATTATTTGGGCTTCCAAGGAGCCCAAGCTTAACGTGAGTCCAGACTCAAAGCCTATTCCACAAGGCTATGAAATTACAAACTATATGGGCTCTTGGTTATTTATTCCTTCACAGGTTAACCCAAATTGATCAATGTCAAAAACAAACATAAAATCAGAAAATTCCTATAGTTCAAGCTAATCAGACCAACGGATTTGATTCAATAAGTAATTTAACTATAGTTTCATTGATGAAACTTGTTTAAGATAAAACATCACTTAAAGATCAACAATGAAACTCGATGAAGCTAATGGACTACTTAGCTAACATTCCTATGTCATGCTTGGTTTCAATTTTCTGATTACTAATTACTGCACAATGCGATGGACATGAAAAGGAAGTGAAATCGATTAAACACATGGAGGGTTAAGTGGATCAACCCTAACTAAACTGGATCTAATATCACTACACATTCCGTTACATAATACTGAAATCCAAAGCAGTCCAAAATGATTCAATGAGACAAACAGTTCCAACAGTCCAGTCCTTAAATTATACACAATGATCTACTGAAGTTCATAGAACTACATGGAGCATAATACACGAATTAACAAAGAAATTATGCTGCACTTCAATTCATATCTTCAAGCTTGAGAATTACATGATATGTACCTGGGAATTCGAACACAGAGAAGGAAGTAAAGTCAGCAGCAGCAAGCAAAAGGCAGCAACAACCAATAACTCCAGTAGCAGAAATCAAGTTAGAAAAAATCAGGCAATGGTATCACACCAAATCAGCACTAAATACACCCAAACAAGCTCGAATACACTCCAAAACCTTTTGAAATTGAAGCTAGAAGCAATGGGAAACTCAGCTGATAACCAGCTTGCAATCAACTCAAAATTTTAAAGCAACAATAGTTTTTTTTTTGGAATTTTCTACTGGATTTTTGCATTTTTTGGATTTTTGACAGGAGTAAAGATCTAGGAGAACATTTGGAACTATAGACATGTAGATTTTAATTTTCTTAGGCTTTGGGATTCAAATTTGAACCCTAGACTTGAAGAAAAGAATTTCTTAGGCTGGTAAGGACTTGGACATTTTTCAGAGAGTCTAAACTTGTGAAACAAGGCAATGGGTGTGCCTTTTATAGGCAAAACTAGGGCTACCTTCAGATTTTTTTTTCTTTTTAGTCCTTACCCATTTTCAGCTTTTAGTCCCTTATTTTTTAACTTGTTACCCAAGTTACAACACCTATTTTATTGAAAACTATACTAAAGTCTATTCTAGAAAGTCCTCTACCCATTACAATTCCTATACTATCCCTTCCCTACTTTAAAAATTACTATTCCTAATAAAACTACCCTTTTCTATGCCTAAATTACCCTTGATCATCCCCTGATATTACTGACCAAGTTAAACCAGTCCATTACCTATAACCAAACAATCCGTTCCTAAGGCTAATCACACTAGACAAATCAGCTAATCCAGGGGTTAAAATCAGATTGCAGCAACAATTAGGAATCAACTAACTGACCCTAGAATCCAAACACTTAAACGTGTATGTCTACTGGGATTGAAGAATACTAATGTAATTAAACTAAACTAAACTAAATGATTACCATTAAACAATAACACAGTAGAGGCTCAATTACTGAAGAAAAGAAAAATGAAATCAAAAGGCTCTAAAGAGTTAAAGATTATCAAGCATGCAGAATCAAAACTTACCAATTTTGGGCACTCGATTGACTATGAGGCGCATTCTGACCAGCTTGTTGTGAATCCTTCGGGATTCTTGACACGTAACATCCCTAATCGTGTGTTTTCCAAAAGAACACACATGATTAGGGAAGTTATGGTCGAAAATCCCCCAAGATTTTCTAATTTAGGGTTCTGCCGGATTTTGATCGGATATTTGCGCAATTCTGGCCATATTTGAGACATGTGGCTATGGGGGTTGGATAGAGGAGGTCAAGGCGGTCCCATGGTGTTAATTTGGGACCGTTTGGCATAACCGGCGACTTGGCCGGAAAACTTCGAACGGATATTCGACGAGTTCCAGTGATATTTGAAAGCAAAGGCCAGTGGATTTGGGTAGAGGAGGAGAAGGGGAATCTGGGGTGTAATTTTGGGGTTGATCGGAGCATCGCCGCCGGCGGCGATGATTTCCGGCCGGCGGCGGACGGCGGAGGAACGGTGGCAGATGGTGGGGTTAGGGCGGAGGACGCCGGCGTTACAGGGGAGGTACGAGGAAGATAAAACAATGTTTTAGATTTTTAGGTTAATTTCGGACAGTTTTATGGGATGGTTTTGGGTTTATGAGGGCCGTAGGATCATGGGGACTGGACGGGCGAGATTGAGTGATGCCAAACGGCGTCGTTTTGCCATGGGGAGGGGACTGGACTGGGTTGACGATTTGGGCTGGTCTGGCAAAGACTTGGGGCATTGGGCTGGGATTAATTTTGATAGTGGCCCAATCTTGGTGGCCTGATTAAGCTTAATGTCAATCTATTTTATTTCTTTTGATTTTTGTTCATTTATTTATTTTTTGAAATTTGTTAAATGCAAAATTAAAAGTAAAACCCCAAATTAATTCCAGAATTATACTAACTCCTAATTCAAAAGTATAAATGCGAAAGAACAATTTTGTTATTTTCTTCTTTACTAATTAATTCTAAAATGTGAAATTAGAACCTAAAACAAATGCATAATGTATTTTTATATCTTCCAGAAGAATTAAAATGCACAAATAAAAATGCAACAATTACCAAAGAATGCCACAAAATTCACCAAAATTTATAAAATACTAGAAAAAATTATTTTGTTTGTAATTTAGGAATTACTGCTTAGGGCAAAAATCACGTGCTCACACGCATAATCAAGTTGGCGAAGGAAATTTTGATGATAGATTAGGGGTGTGCATTCGATTTATCGATTCGATTTTGATCCTTATCGATAATTACTTATCGATTATCGATTTGTACATATGCTTATCGTTATCGTTTCAATAGGGTTTCGATTTTTTCGATTTCGATTTATCGATTTTGGGGGATTATCAATTCGGTTATCGATTACACCAATAAGAAAATTTGCGGGATTCCACGAAAAGTATATCGCTATAAACGTGCCTAACTAATATGGACAAAAAGAAGCTAAAATAAGACGAACACCATTTATAATATAAAAATTGTGTCAACAAGCACATGCAACAAAACTAAAGTAAGGTATCAAATGTATGCCACCAACACTCCAACGGTATAAAAAAAACAAAACAAAACAAAACACATCATCGCGGCTAATTCTATTTTCCATTAATTTGAACTTCATTCCCTTGATCTTTAAATATGATCATTCCTTAAATGTGGTAGAGGAAATAATAGGGTAAGGGACTTAGGGTAAAGGAAAGGGTATAGATTAGGGAAAATAATATTGTATAGCCGCTTTCAAAATAGTAGCGGAATATATATATACATTCTGTATGTTATATTAATCTACACAAATAGGTAATTACTCATTTAACAAGTGTCTACAGTCTAGGGGTGTGCATTCGATTTATCGATTCGATTTTGACCCTTATCGATAATTACTTATCGATTATCGATTTGAACATACGCTTATCGTTATCGTTTCAATAAGGTTTCGATTTTTTCGATTTCGATAACAAATAATCGATTCGATTTATCGATAAACCGATTCGAATGCACACCCCTATGATAGATGCCTTAAAACGCCCTTCTTTTCCCCCTCCCTTCACAAGAAGTATCATGCTTCTCCATTATAGTTGCTTGTCATAGGCCCAGCAAATAGCTTGCTCTTTTCTCTTATCCTATTTTCTTCAACACCGTTGTTAATTCCCTTTTTTCTTCATCATCATGTATTTCGTTACCATAGTAATTAAAATACATGATTTGGTTTTTGTTGCATTTTCATAATTAAAATTCATTTTCAAACAGATCCTAACATGAGTTTAAGAATATACTAATTTAATTCTGAATAACTACTCGTTCCATTGTTCCCTGCTTCTCATCCATTTCATTTTGTAACTCCCGTTTGACTGTGAATAACTTGGAGGGTTCTGTGAGTCATGATGTTAATTAACAGTATTGCAAATAACATCACTAGATGTAGTCAATCTTGAAATATCAGACTTCATCGACCAACATTACTACGATATTCCTAAAAGGTTTAGCAGAACAACTGAAATTCATAATTTAGAACATATTCAAATAAACCACATCCATTGTTTTTGAAAATTGTTGCTCCCTGATTGTTACTGTTTGATGTTACTTTTTCTCCCCCTTTACTAGAAATTGTTGCTCCCTGATTGTTACTATTTGATGCTCTACTTTATTCTCCCCTTTTTCCTTATCGTCTTTTGTCTCCCTCGTCTTTCTTTCTTTCCCCTCTTCTTCTTCCTCTTCTTTCTTTCTTCTCCTGCTCCTCCTCCTCCTCTTTCCACTTTTCTTGAGCCGAGAGTCTATTGGAAACAACATCTCTACCTCTCCAGGTTTAAGGTGTGCGTACACACTAACCTCCCTAGACCCCACCTGTGAGATTATACCGGGTATGTTGTTGTTGTTGTTTATCCAAATATGTAATACGCCAGTATGCTCAAAGACTAGAATAACTTTTGACCAAGAAGTAATAATGGCACAAATGCAGCACTATGTTTATATGACACAGAAATTATTGTTTCATATGAGTGGTAGAATTGTTTCCCAACAAAAGGATGGCCTAAAAAGAAACAAGCTCCCGATCCAAATATAACGAAATGTTTTGATATATTAATTGTAGTACTTCATATAAACTTGGCTGCCCATGAAAACAATAAATGCTACTTTATTGCTCTTCCCTAATATATACATGATATATGTGAAACTTTTCGAATGATCTTCTAGTAACGCTAAAGTAACTTCATAAATAGAAGCTGGAGATTGGTAAATGAATTGTAACTACTTACTATAGTTGATGGTGTTTGCCACTCTTTTACACGCCTCTTACATCCGATATGAAAATCGTGTTGATACTAAAAGTAAGAAATAGAAAGAGCAACTTACAGATACAAAATCACCTATTGCCGGGTACACCTTTGATGGAAAATTCTTTTTTCTTTGGGTTAAACCTTTGATGGAAATTTTGATGTTATATGACTTCTCTTTATGCTCTTTTGTGATAGGGGAAACGGCTTGAGATTCTTTGGCACGATTTAAGTTGAATTTTCAGTGGCGTTGAAAATCAGATTTCGCTTAAATGTAGTTAGAATTTATTTTGATCAAGCTGAGGTCAATTATTATCACATAGCACTTTACCAATGTGTGAAGAAGTAGTGTTAAGAAAGTAGATAATTGATTTGATGTCTATATCTTTATAGCAAATATACTTACTTGAATAACAAAACTAGACAATATGGTAAAAGAAATCTACTGCTCTACAATTCACCGTATCTGATTGATTTTTAATCCTTGAGATGGAATAAGAGTGAATTGGCTTAATTTGTAGGTAAATTATGAATTATGATAGTTACAAAAGGGAGTGGGTGGAAGCTTTCACTCCCTGGAAAAGGGAACCAAAGGAAGATCCCGACAACAGTGAGTTTCATTAAAAATTCTGCCCTAATTTCCATTGTACCAAAATTCACTTGGTTTTGCTGTTTTAATTGTGAAATTGTGTAGGCCCTGTTTTTTCAGGCGATTATGAGAGTTTCAATCCGAAGCGACAGAGGTTCTATTTACATGCTCAAAATAAGCACTTAGATGTTTATACGAAGATGGCTGCTTTAAAAGCTTCCACATCTGTCGTCAATCTTGAATCATACTCGGGTACTTGTTCATATTAGTTTTATTTGTTTTCTCATATTTGTTGTTTGCTTTGATGTTTGTTTCTTTTATTGCTTGGAGACTCAGTTGTTTCAATTTTATTTTTGTCGTTCTACCTTCTTTGGTAATCGTTTTACGTATTGTTGTTACTTTTATGTTCATTATCAGGAAAAGAGGAGATATTTCAATGTTCTGGAACCATTATAGAAAGTGTTGACACTTCTAGTATAATATTGACCACTGCGAGTCTCCTTAGGTGCTCTAAGGCTAGAAATTCTATAGCAAATGACATTAAGGTTAGCTTATTTTTATCACGTTCTCAGATTTTCCTCACTACTTCCTAACCAAATTCATGTTGTTAATCTCTTGATATCTTAGACTCATTTGAAAGTTATTGCCAACCAAACTCTTGTCAAATCAGTTGATAGTTATAACTATTTATTCAGGTTATTGTGCACCTATTTGATGGAAGAGCATTTGATGGTCATATTGAGGCTTATGACTTTCACTACAATGTTGTTGCTATAAGGATTCAATCAGACACCCCACTTCCAATTGCTTCCCTGGCTCATTTAAATGATTCTATCATGATTCGGCCAAGTCAGCTCAGAGTTACGGAAGAGAAGCCATTTCAACTTCGTCCGCATTCAAACTCATTTGATCTTATTCCTGGAGATTCAGTTATTGCACTTGGTCGTTTCAATAAGAAGCCGTATGATATCATGGCTGCCCCTGGTGAATTCAGGTACATAGTGGCTAAACTAGGCAGCCTAATTTACATGGGTTCTGTAGGCTGTTGGTTCTCAAACTATTTCTTTTGCCTTTGAATATGCCTTGCTATCAACTAGTATCATGCATTTTGAGGGCTTAAGTTGATATTGTTGAATTTCTCAAATTGTAATTCTTACTTCCCTATGTGTCTAGAAATTCAATATTTGCATTTTGTTCATCAGTAAATGATTTATGTGGTATGCACCTGTTCTGCACTTGCATGTGCTTAGTAACTTAGAGAAAGGGATCTGTTCCTGACCGTAGACTATGCCATCGTGGTTCAATATGCAACACATTAATAATTTTGGTCAGCTTTTCTACTGGTGTATTATTTAACCGAGGATCTCCAATACATCCAGTTTGCAAATTGGAATCATTTTCGTTGATAGACAAGTTTAAGCTGGTTATTGAGAGGGTATCCCTGAAGCCTTGTTTCTTTTCTTTTAGTTAAAATGCAAAGGGGGTATGGTGGGTTATGGGTGGTAAGAACATGTTTTTCTCATATACCTAAGTAAGCTGTTTTCTTAACATAATGTGTTGATTTTAGAACACACAGGCACTCACAAATACACATTGCTTATTGCATACATGATTACCATGTTGGTTATTGTGATTTTCCACCTCAATTCTTTTTCTGGTTGATCCTTGTAGCATTGATCGCTGCGACTACGACTACTTCGAGTGTAAAGAGCTTTTCATGGCAACTTGCAGAATTACAAGAGTAACTCCTTCACACTTTCTGTTTTAGAAAAACTCTCTTTCACACTTATCTCTTACTTTGATGGTTTTGTCACTTTGTTCATTTTGCTTCTAAATATATTCTTAATCAATGACAAATATATGCATATTTTCTCTGTCTATTGTGTGTTTGATTTTTTGTAGAAAGATAGCAAATTTAGGGCTTTTCGTTTTCATTCTTTGTTATAGTGTGGTATTGGTGGCCCACTTATCAATCGCTATGGAGAAATCATCGGTATCTGCTTTCATGATGTCTCCTCTATTGCATTCTTGCCGATCAATATAGCTTCCATATGGTGGGAACATTATAAGAAATATAGGTAAGCTCCGAATCTTTGACTTGTTTTTACCTTTGCAGGATGCTTGATTTGTGGTGGTACCATTTTTCTTTCTGCAATTGCATGTAATATGCTTGAATTTCATCTCTTCAATATTTTTTAAAGCATGCAGTGTCACAAATTGTATAATGGACCAGTTGACATATCGAATATTTCTATGAGATATCTTACATTGAACGTATTGTGTAGTTATGTAGGTTCTCTACTTTTTGTATTCGGCTTATATACGGATGCTTTTTTCACATTAATAAAGTTATTTATATTATCCTTTATCAAAACAAAAAAATTTATTTTCCTTATTAAAGAAAGAAACATGTTTTGTAGCCTAGCTTTTCTCATATCCATAGTGGATCTCTGTTTCTTGGTGTGTTTGTCTTTCTACTAAAATTTTAAGTTATTCCACTTTTAATTTATCTTTTGAATGTTGTACACTCTTAAACAAAGAATTCTTGCTACTTGATAATCTGCTTGTACATGGCAACTATAATGAAGAAAAAATATTGAGGGAGTTTAGGCTTATAAAAAATCTAATCACACAAATACCTGGTACTAATCTTAAATTTTTGTTCTATCATAGGCAACCACGTCGGCCGCGGCTCGGGATGGAGGTAGCTAATCTCTATGCAGCTGACTTAGAAATTCTTGAAAGAATTATTTCAAAGTTCCCTGAAGTCATGGAAGGCGTCATTGTTGAAGAGGTATGCTCTCTATTGCAGTTTTTTTTCTTGTTTGTGGAAAACTGTTGTTCTTTGAATGGTATTGTGTCCCCCTATTTCATAGTTGTCAAAGAAAGTAGGCACATTATAGCACCATGGTAGAATAGTAGGCCAGGCATGGGTGCAAGGCATTCTGATGGATGTGAGGTGCCCGTTTGTGTAAGATGTGCATTAAGAAAAACAACGGCACGCCTCAGTCCCAAGCAAGTTGCGGTCGATTATATGAATCCTCACTGACCATGTTAGTGCATAAATAACAACACTTTATTTTAATTTGTGAATGCTGAAATTTTAAAGATGCAACAAATGCAAGATAGGGATAATGCTTGCAAAAATTTTTTTTCAGAGGATTTCTGTGAAGCATTCTGATTTATGCAGCAAACAAATATTAATGTTCCGTTAATTTCTGAAAAAAGAGCCCACGAGCTGAAAACAGAAGGTTTAGGGTTTAACCGTAGCTCCGTTAATCCCTATCACTTTTCAGATTACAAACTTTGTTTGAACTAAAAGAAAGAAAATTAGGGAGAACGCAGAGTACAAACTCACGAATAGAAAGAGAAAACACCACCGAGCGAGAGAACGAGCTTTCACCCAAGCGTTTGAATGCGGAAGCTAATAAGCATAATGACAAAAATATTAGAGTCTTCTGTTGCATAGTGGGTTTTTTGGGAAAGACATAAAAAAAATAAGGAAAAAAACAAGGGGAGAAATTCAAAAATAGCCAAATTTACAAGTGATCACTCAAAAATAGCCATAATTTCAAAAGTAATCGAAATTTAGTCACTTATTATGTAACGATAAATCTGAACGAAAACTGTTCAAAAACCGGAAAATACCGCAGCATAATATACTGGTATTCCAATATAATATACTGGAACTCCAGTATATGTATACTAGAACTCCAATATATAATATACTGGAGTTCCAGTATAATATACTGGGCTTCCAGCATAATATACTGGAGTTCCAGCATAATATATCAGACCAGCATAATATGCTGGAAGTTTATACACAGGTGCTCCAATCTCCAGTATATTATACTGGAACTTTTTGCGTGTTGGAGTTCCAGCATAATATGCTGGAAGTTCATACACAGGTGCATCGATCTCCAGTATATTATGCTGGAATTTTTGTATTGCAGCAAAATAGTGGCCATTTTCAATGACTTTGAAAATGCTGGCTATTTTTCAATGATCAGACCGAAAACTGGCTAGCCCGTGCTATTTTTACAAAAACAAGCATAATGACATAAATAAGAGATACAGTATAAAAAATATATATAATAAATTTAAAAAGTATAAACAGGGCCTGAGACAGGTGACTTGACACTCTACAATCAAACCTCTTTATAACAACCTCGTTTGTTCCGAATATTTTTGGATGGTATAGAGAAGTGTTGTTATAAATAATATATATTATAACATAACATGAAAATTGGTTCCGGAAAAAAACTTATCCTTTATAGTGAAGTGTTATTATATAAGGATGATGTTATAGAAAGGTCTGACTCTATATGATTAGAGAAGCCATTTTTTTTTCCACATTAAAAAGTTTCTTTAGTAAATTTTCAACGTTTAACAAACTTTCTTTTTTCTTTGGTTTATTTCGTTTTCAAGAGTTAATCAGAATGGAAAAAGAGAGTTGATAATTGGTTCTATATAAAATTGGGAGTTTTATAGCTTTACCATATAAATAAAACTAATTATCCTTGTCTACCTATTTTGTAATGACCCGACCGGTCGTTTCATGAGTTACCGTTCTGTTTCCCCCATTTTTGCTTCTTATTACCTTGTCGAACTGTATTTTGTGTTATCGGATTGGTTGGATCGGGTTCCGAGAGGTTTTGGTAAGGTTTAAAACACTTAGTCTATTTTGAGTAAGCTTAAGTTGGAAAAGTCAACCGGATATTGACTTGTGTGAAAAGGACTCGGATGTGAATTTTGATAGTTCGGATAGCTTCGGGAGATGATTTGGGACTTAGGAGTGTGATCGGAACGTGTTTTGGAAGTCCGTAGTAGATTTAGGTTTGAATTGGCGAAATCAGAATTTCGGCGTTTTCCGGTTGATAGGTGAGATTTTGATATAGGGATTGGAATGGGATTCCGGGAGTTGTAGTGGTTCCGTTATGCAATTTGGGATGTGTGTGCAAAATTTCAGGTCATTCGGACGTGGTTTGATAGACTTTTTGATCAAAAGCGTAATTCAAAAATTTTTGGAATACTAGGCTTGAATTCGATGTGATTTCGCTGATTCGATGTTGTTTGAGGTGTTTTGAAGATTGGTATAAGTTTGGGTAGTGGTATATGACTGGTTTGTGCGTTTGGTTGAGGTCCCGGGGGCCTCGGGGTGATTTCGGATGGTTGACGGAAAGTTTGAAGTTAAGTTGGGACAGCTGAAGCATTTTGTTGTTGTCATAACCGCACATGCGATTGGGAGGCCACATGTGCGATGCCCGCAGGAGCGGAAGGCAGCCGCAGATGCGGCCAAGAAGAAGGTCACCAGGGACCGCAGAAGCGGTGAAGGGGACGCAACTGCGGTCGCGCAAGTGCGAGATTTTAAACGCAGATGTGGAAATTGGCATTTAAGTGAAAACGCAGATGCGGTGGATGAGGCCGCAGAAGCGGGAAAAGGACCGCAGGTGCGAAAAGCCTGGGTCGGAAAGTAAGGTTTCCTTCGCGATTTTGAGCTATTCTTCACCATTTTTCATTCGGGTTTGAGATTGGGGGAGTTATTTTGAAGAGGGATTCAAGGGATAACACCCGGAGGTAAGATTTTTGAACCTAATAATCGATCATATGGCATTATTTCACTAATTTGGCCTAAGATTTATGGAAATTAAGGGTTAAAATTAGGGATTAGGGCTTGGTATTGGAGACCTTGACTTGGGGATTTGAAGGGCCATTTGTGGTCGGATTTTGGTACTTTTGATATGAATGAACTCGTGGGAGGATAATGAGCGTACTGATGTAAATTTTATCGGATTCCGAGACGTGGGTCCGGGGGTCGGATTTTGGTTAATTTCGGGATTTATGTTGTAATTTGATTATTTTCGCATGGGCTTCGTTCCCTTAGAATATTTTGACAACGTGATTCTGATTTTGGATAGATTCGACGCGGGTTGAGGCCGATTCGAGGGGCAAAGGCATCGCGGGCTAGAGTTTGGACCGAATTGAGGTGAGTAATGATTGTAAATGTTATCCTGATGGTATGAAACCCCAGATTTCACATCGTTGTGCTATATTGAGGTGACACACACGCTAGATGATGAGTGTGGGGTCGCGCACCGTTGGGGATTGTCACTTAATCCATCCCGAATAATTGTTTTACTGCGTATTTGATTGAAAATTGTTTGCTATCGTCATGTTTTGAGCTGAATGCCATATTTGGGCCTCGTGCCAACTATTTGGATCCTTAGGGGATTTTTACTGCTATTTCCTCACTGTTTTGATTTTATATCTGTACTCACTTATGCTATATTATACTGTTTTCATAACTCAACCATGTTTACACTATTTTAATACTTTAAATGAAAGTTTGGGCTGAGCATCATATTTTACTGTGCCCGAGTGGCTTTTAGAGATTTTTGACTGAGTAGGACCAAGAGCATGTATTGTGAGGATTATTATAGGATCGGGTTGCACGCCGCAGCAGTGTTGTACTGATTATGATTATGAGGTCGAGGGCCTGAGTTGTACGCCACAAGGTGGCTTGATATGAGGCCGATAGCCTATTGATTATGCCACGAGATGGCTTGATATTGCGCTTGGGCCGTAAGGGGCCCCTCCCGGAGTCTGTATACCCCCAGTGAGCGCGGGTACCCAGTATGATATGTGACATAGCCCGAGGGGCTGGTGTTGTTCCATGTTATTGCCCGAGGGACTGAATCTGTTTACAGTGTGCCGAGGGGCGGATTTTATGTGTTTATCTTTTCTCGCGGCTTTTCATTTACTTGTTTAACTGTTAAAAAAGTATTTTAAAGAAGCTTATACTGAACTAAGGTATTTTTATAAGATTTCACGATTTTATTGCATTTACTCTGCCTCTTTATAGCATGTTGTTGTGTTTTTACGTGATTTCTTATCGCTCAGTCTTCATTTATTATCACTAAGTTGGAGTACTCACTTTACTCCTTGCACCCTATGTGCAAATTCAGGAGCTTCAGGTCCCGCCAGTGAGGGTTGATTGCTCCCAACAGGCCATTCGGAGTCCACTAGGTAGCTGCTTGGTGTTCGCAGCCCAGTGTTTCTCCCTCCTATCTTACTTTTGTTTCTAGTTTTGTAATAGACTGGATAAACTCTTTCAAACTCTTAGACACATGTTTAGATGCTCATGACTGGTGACACCCCGATGTCGGGTGTCGCGCCCCCTTTTTCTCGCAAAATCGGGTTTATGACATTTGGGAGGACAACTCGTTCCCTTTTGGGAATTGGGTTTGAATTAAGAGTCACCACCTAATGATTAAAGTGCATTAGGACACTAAGAAGGGTTTGATTTAAGTAACCTGAGATTGGGTAAGGGCTTGAAATTATCCCGAGGGGAAGGTGTTAGGCACCCCTCAGGATCCACTAGTGTGGTCCCGGCCAGACTATTGTTGTGACTTAAGTGCGAATAACACATAGGCAAATAAATACTTCAAGTAAGAGGTGATTTTCACATAATGGTTACAAATAAGCAAAGTTAGAAAGAACCAAAAGAGAGCTGATTTTCCTTAAAGAAATAGTTTGAAATTTTGAGATGAAGCAAAGAAACAAAGAAACAAAGGGAAGGGGGTCCTAGATTTATAAATAATATAGATCACCCCACACAACATCCAGTAATCACTCCTCAATGAGGGGCTACACGTGATGTTATCGCGTGGTCATCATATCCATATCTACCCTTTCCCACCCCGTTAAGGTATTAAAGCGCGGAATGGTTTCGTTTACTTATTGCATGCTATTACCTGTCCCGATCCTATCAGTCTCAGAGGCATTTAAGACTAATAATCCTATAGGGGAGGGATATTAGGCTTATTTGTGGTTTTAAAGGTAAAAATTCTAGGGCGACATACAAAACATGTACAGCAAATTGAGGGAAAGCACATAACAAATAAAGGCTCAGGTATACCTCCTTTAAACAAAGAAATACATAATTTAGCAGACTTACACATACTGTTTAGGTCTGATTAAAACATTAAAGGCGAAAAAGAGGAGGTTGCTGAGGCAGACTAGTTTGATACATGGCTCAGAGAGGAAGTCAGGATCAGACTTGCCTATTGTCACACCTCTTTTTTCCACGCAACCCTATTATGAGGTTGAGTGAGAAGAGTTTTTCCAATTGAAGTGACATTTTGAAAAGGGATCATTTATTATTTAGAGTCGCCACTTGGAATTGAGTTTTGGTGTTCCAAGTCACCTTTTATTCTAATCCCTTTCAAAAGGAAGGTTTGACTCTTATTTATGGTCTACGAAAACAGAAGAATGAGTAAGGAATTCTCTTGACCGAGAGGAAGGTGTAAGGCACCCCTCGAGTCCCGTGGTTCTAGCACGGTCGCTTTTATTGACTAATGTTCGGTTTAAATCAATTCTTGACTATTCTCGTATTTTATTGATTATGGCTTGTCTATTACCACTTCACTTAATTTATTATATTTTTTATTAATTGTTTTGACCTACATGCGGTACGCACACGAGGTACTTCTTTGAAATTAAATGTCAAACCACGATACGGAATGTACACATGGTTATAAAATAATTATTTTAAATTTAAAAGCATCGAGACGCGGAATGCGCACATAATCCTTTTATTATTTGATATTAACCAAAGATCGTGCAAGAACACATGGTTAACTTTTGAAGACGTGCCTAAAATTGCCTAGTATTTTTAAATAATTGGTGACTAAGTTATTAAATTATTTAATTATAAAAAAAATTATTAAAATATTTGACAAATTTTACCTTTAAAATTGGGCCAGCACATTCTCTCATTACCTAGGGCCATTTTCTTCTTCACTTAGAGTTCAAAAAATAAATAAATAAAATAATAATAATAATAACAATAGTGCAACATTTACAAAATGTTTACGAAAAATCTTAGCAGGATTCAATAATCCAGCCGAGAATCACGCACGCACTACTGCGAATGACTAACTTCCTATACTTTTTGTCCTAAAATGGTACTATGTCCTAAGAAACTATATATATATATATATATATATATATATATGTGTGTGTGTAACTATTATAATTTCAACAGTACCTGATAATAGATTTCATAAAAATGAAAATACAATCTTAATGTGTACGAACCTAAATGCAGATTTTCGAACAAGCAGACCTTGATGTAAAAGGTCAACTATTAGCCAACAAAAATAGCAGCCCAGCAAGACCAAATTCCAGCAGTAGCAACCACAGCGGCTCCAAAAATTTTCAGAAATCTTTAAACTCCAAAGCAAGGAAGAGTTGAAAAGGTTTTGGGCTATTTTGAGGTGGAAGAGTTGAAGAACTTTTCGTGAGGTTTCTGAGATTGATTTTTAAGGGTGGAAGTTGATGCTTTCCATGTTCTCCGTGGGAATCTGGGAATCTCTCCCTCCTCTGTCCGTGTGTGTATTAATATAGATGTGTGGGTGAGGGAAGTTAATGTGTTGGTGTGTGAGTTAATTTTAAAATAGGTGGGGAAAATGGAAAAGAGACGTGAGGAGTGGGGGGGTTTTGGGAGGTTAGAGATCAGTTAGCTTTTGTTTATGTACTTTGTTATCTCTTCTTTTTTTTTTTTTAATTCTTTTTCGTTAGTTTTTTTCTTAAACTTTTTCTAACTCTTTTTTTTAATAANAAATGCAAGGGGGTATGGTGGTATGGGTGTAAGACATGTTTTCTCATATACCTAAGTAAGCTGTTTTCTTAACATAATGTGTTGATTTTAGAACACACAGGCACTCACAAATACACATTGCTTATTGCATACATGATTACCATGTTGGTTATTGTGATTTTCCACCTCAATTCTTTTTCTGGTTGATCCTTGTAGCATTGATCGCTGCGACTACGACTACTTCGAGTGTAAAGAGCTTTTCATGGCAACTTGCAGAATTACAAGAGTAACTCCTTCACACTTTCTGTTTTAGAAAAACTCTCTTTCACACTTATCTCTTACTTTGATGGTTTTGTCACTTTGTTCATTTTGCTTCTAAATATATTCTTAATCAATGACAAATATATGCATATTTTCTCTGTCTATTGTGTGTTTGATTTTTTGTAGAAAGATAGCAAATTTAGGGCTTTTCGTTTTCATTCTTTGTTATAGTGTGGTATTGGTGGCCCACTTATCAATCGCTATGGAGAAATCATCGGTATCTGCTTTCATGATGTCTCCTCTATTGCATTCTTGCCGATCAATATAGCTTCCATATGGTGGGAACATTATAAGAAATATAGGTAAGCTCCGAATCTTTGACTTGTTTTTACCTTTGCAGGATGCTTGATTTGTGGTGGTACCATTTTTCTTTCTGCAATTGCATGTAATATGCTTGAATTTCATCTCTTCAATATTTTTTAAAGCATGCAGTGTCACAAATTGTATAATGGACCAGTTGACATATCGAATATTTCTATGAGATATCTTACATTGAACGTATTGTGTAGTTATGTAGGTTCTCTACTTTTTGTATTCGGCTTATATACGGATGCTTTTTTCACATTAATAAAGTTATTTATATTATCCTTTATCAAAACAAAAAAATTTATTTTCCTTATTAAAGAAAGAAACATGTTTTGTAGCCTAGCTTTTCTCATATCCATAGTGGATCTCTGTTTCTTGGTGTGTTTGTCTTTCTACTAAAATTTTAAGTTATTCCACTTTTAATTTATCTTTTGAATGTTGTACACTCTTAAACAAAGAATTCTTGCTACTTGATAATCTGCTTGTACATGGCAACTATAATGAAGAAAAAATATTGAGGGAGTTTAGGCTTATAAAAAATCTAATCACACAAATACCTGGTACTAATCTTAAATTTTTGTTCTATCATAGGCAACCACGTCGGCCGCGGCTCGGGATGGAGGTAGCTAATCTCTATGCAGCTGACTTAGAAATTCTTGAAAGAATTATTTCAAAGTTCCCTGAAGTCATGGAAGGCGTCATTGTTGAAGAGGTATGCTCTCTATTGCAGTT